AAAGGTTGACTGTCTTGGAATCCCTAAGGAGCAATACTACTCTATTCAGTGTGGTCCCCATAAGTTGGAATTGACTGTGTGACAGTGTGGTGTTTTGTTGTGTGTGCGGGGAGGGGGTGGTGGTGGTGGTGGTGGTGGTGGTTATATAGAGTCTCACAGCAGGTCTTCCCAGTCTTGGCATGTACAAATATCATGACCAATAGTAATAACATATCTCATCTCAGACTTTCATTAGTTATATTGCCTCATTATTTGTTAAAAATTATTTTGTTTAAATTGAAAATCATAGAGGTAAGATTACACATGTAGTTTTAAATTGATAGGATTGGTGACATTTAGTAAATGCTTATGAAGAAATTTTCTTATTTATTTGAATTACCAAAAATGGTTTATATCAACATTTGCACACACACACACCCCAAAATTTGCATGGCCTTTTAATATCAAGGATGCCACTGACTTAAAATGTCTATGTCTTCTGATTGCTTTACAGTGACCGTAACTTTTAGTGGGTGAAAAAAGGCACTGTACAAATTGTATGTGCTTCTTTGAATTTGGGTTTTTGAAATTTGTTAAATGTACATTGCTTTTGTCTGGTTTACTAAAAAGGAGCCTGGGGGCATAAGATCTGGTTGGTATGGGCAGAACATACAGTGATACATACATTGCTGGCAGTCCATTTGCTTATGCCACGTAGTCTGCCTCCATTGTTTTCCTCCTTGTTCTATAAAGAAGCACTACAACTATTGTCCAAATAAAGTGACAGTCACATAGACACATTCCCCATTTAATGAGGATGCTATTTTCATCAGGTGATCATTTAATATATAACATCGTTTGAAAAGTTCTTTTCTGTCACAATTCTGAGTGCCATAGGTATGTCTGAATACGCTGAAGCAACTGTAAAATAAGTAGAGACAGCTTTGCCCATCAGAGTAAGCATCATGGGAATTTGTGCCAAAGGGTGGAGGGAACAAGTAAAGAGATCTGATAGAGAACTGGGAAGGGAACCCAGCCAATACGATGAGAAAGGAGACACTTTTGAATTTGGCTGTACAGAAAAGGTGACCTTGAGCATCTGTCTGATGTGGAAATCCAAAACCCAGGTCTGCTTAAGAAAACAAAAGACACAGACTGATAGATGTCATTAGCAGTCATTTCCACCGTCCTCAAGTTGAAGTGTAGATAGGGAGTCTCAGGGGGATAACCAAGCCTTGTTCACTGGCCTCTGTTTTTACTTTCAATAGAGCAATATGATTACTTTTTACATTCCCAGTATTATTCCTTAGTGTTAGAATGGGTGTCCTTCATTAGTGCTAATGAAGAATAACAAAGAATGGGAATCACTTCAAAGGCATTTTAAAATGTAAAAATGTTTTTAATAGTTGAAAGAAGAGTTTGCGTTTTTTGCATTTAGAAACACATTTGTAACATTTACGAGGGGGGAGCCATGTGTTCTTTTGTTGTTGTTCTTCAGTGGAGACATTTTAATACATCTGCTATACATACATACACACAGAGATATTTCTATGTAAATGTATACACACATTTTGTGACAGAGGATGGGAGTGATGTACTTTTGTTCCTGAAGCTAGGCCTTTGATCATGTTTGCGTGAATCTTTCTGTATTGCATGAGGGAGTGGCTCTTTCCGTTTCTTGTGACTATCCAGTTGTCCTAGCACCATTTGCTGAAATGACTGTCACCACTGAATGGACTTGGTTTCCTTATTGAAAATCATTTCATAATAAATGTGGACATTGACTTTTAAAAGAAAAGTTTGAAGACTTTTTTGAGTTGACCTTGCCAAGAAAATAAGACAAAGTACTACAAAGCAGTTAATGTATGGATTTTCTAAATGATTGCAGGTCATCTGTTCATTGGGCCAACCAATGGGAGGACACTATCTAAATTATATCATGTTATGGGTATTCTTAATTACATGCAAAGACTTTCCTAACTGAAGAATCTCCATTTGGTGTGCTTACCTTGGATTTTGTTTTTATTTATACTTGGAGATATGGGTCATTTTAACTTCTCGTTCCCCTTACTTTGTTGTCCGTTACTATCAGCACATTAGGATTTCTCTTAGACTTCTGAACGATCATTTACCTCTTTTAACTTATTTTCAAAGATTTCAAAGATTCAAAGATTAGCCAGAGAAAAAGTTAATCTTTAAAAGGGTCATGTTTATAAAGTTGAGATAGTGCTGAGTGGCAGGTGATCTGCTGATTCTAGCTATAAAATGTTTTTGGAGTACAGTAAACACAGTTATTTTTATTTCCCAGAATAGATGATCATTTTTAGGTCCACTGAGCTTCTAAAAGCATCACACTCAAAAAATGAAGTGAAAAATTATAAATTGCATTTACTATATACTAGCATCTATTGAGGTTGAAGCAGTCATCAGAATTGATTGTAAGTTAACTTTGGAAAGGCTGATTAAGGAAATTAACTGCCTTTAATGACGTGTCATAATCCCTGGGTAGTGCAAATGGTTAATGGCTGGTTAATGGTAAGATTGGAGGTACAGAGTCCACCCACCCAGTGGAACCTCTGGGCGTTTCCATGTATTTCTTAAAAATCTACCACTAAAAACTGAAGCTTAGTTTTCTACCCTTATAAACACAAGGGCCAGGAGTTAGAACCGACTCCATCGCTGCTCTTAATGTTATGTCATAGTTCACGCTTATAATGAAATTTGGTGCTGATTTTTCATGACAGTTTTTTAGAAGGTCAAAAACTTTAAGTTGTGACATTTTCTAGGGAATATGCGCATATAAACAAATTTATATTTTTTGTATGAATAAGATAGCTAACTCAGTATGAATCAAATGTAAAATTCATTATCTAAAAACTTCACTATATGTGAGTGGTTTTTTTGTGTGTGTGTGAGTGTTTTATAGGTACTGCACCATCACATTACATTACCCAGAGGATAGAGTTCCATAATCCAAAATTCCCACCTACTTTCAAATTCTGTAATAAACAACAAAAATTTCAACCTTTTATTTTATTTGACCTGTAAAGTTCCTCTTTGAGCCAGTGTATTCTTTTCAAAAAGAAGGCGTTCAGGCAGGTGAACTAAAATTTGCTCAGTAATGAAGCCAACAGCCAGGTGTGCCTGTTTAATACTTGTGAGCACAGCAACACTCCCACTGGTACAGTGATGCTCAGAGGCTTTCTGAAATAGAATGGCATGTTAAATACATTGTAAAGAATTTTACTAATAAATGGCTGGAAATGGAAAGACCTAGCTTTTAGGAAGACTTGCTATTTGGAATTTGATTGTTGGACATTGAATAATAAATGCACCAGGCCAACTTATTGTATCCAGTTAAAAATATTTATTGTATGTATCCCATGTCAGATATTGTTTTAGACCTGTGGTTCTCAATCTTCTTAATGCCATGACCCTTTAATACAATTACTCATGTTGTGGTGATCTCCCAACCATTAAATTATTTTCATTGCTATTTCATAACTGTAATTTTGCTACTGTTATGAATTGGGCGACCTCTATGAAAGGGTCATTCAACCCCCCAAAGGGGTCGGGACCCACAGGTTGAGAACCGCTGTTCTAGACCATGGAGATTGACCGGTGGACACAGACACACATCCCTGGCCTTGCATGTCCTCCCCTCACTGCCATCTAGTCAATTCTGACTCATAGGGCTGCCTGCTCGGTGGGGTTTCCGAGAGTATAGATTTTTATTTAGAGGAACAGATAGCCTCACTTCTCTCCTGAGGGGTGGTTAGTAGGTTTGAACTGATCGATCTTTTTATCTTCTTTGAATTATTTGTAGTCTCTTAAATTGTCTTGTTAAAGCAGTTTTGTGAGACAGTACAGCTGTATACTTTTTATAGGTCACAGATAAGGAACCTGGGACAGCATTGGAATAGACAGGAGTAGTGATGGCAGCTTCTGCATGATAGACATTGTGTAATTGACTGAATTGTGCTCTATACTTATTAGTAGTAGCTCAGGTGGTTTCTAACTTCCATGTATGCAAAGTGCTCACTGCCAAGGATATTTAATACATTCTCTTTGAAAGATAAGAATTATAAAACATCCTTCTTTGTTGTGTTATCTGTTGGCACTGGAAGCATGAACAATGAAATTTCGTGCTTAGTGTAATATATAAAGTAGAACAGATTCATCAGGCGCTTCTGACACACAGTGACCCTGTATAGGGTTTCTAAGGCGGTAAATCTTTGCAGGCCCAGAGAACTGCATTATTCTGCGGAATGACTTGAGGGTTACCTTGTAGTTAGAAGTTCAATGCTTACCCAACAGGGGTACCGGGGCTCCTTAGTGTAATATATAAAAACAAACCAAACTCACTGCCATGGAGTCGATTGTGAGCCATAGTGGGACTATAGGACAGAATAGAACTGCCCCTGTGAGTTCACATGACTATAACTCTTGAAAGCAGAAGACTTGATAATTTCCCCCCAAAGAGGCTGGTGGTTTCAAATCCCACTGGGTAGTCGCTGTGCCACTAGGACTCTTTAGTGTAATACACCGGAGTGTGTAAATGATTCCCCAGCGTCTTTCTACTCAGGCCCCCTTGTGACAGTTCTCACTTTTTCTCCTCAGTTCTCTCACACTCGTTCTTCCTTTTCTTCTTTACCATCGTATGTGTATGTATCTGATAGTGTCTTTCTGAAACGCGTCACTCCGTGAGTCCTTTCCCTCTACCACAACGTTCCTGTGGGACTGTAGCATTTACAGAATTATGATCTTTAACCGATTACGATTAGTTTTTTTCTCATTGATTGTTTATTACTAGAACAGAATCAAAATCAAAATAAAACCAGTAGGAAAAGGTAAGAAAAAGCCCTTTACTTGCAACTAATTTGACAGTTAACTTATATAATAGAAATTTTCCTGTTTAATAGTTTTAATAGATTGAATAGTTTCCTTTTTTTTGGAAACAATATGTGAAGCAGCAACAGAAATTACAAAATTTCTCAAAATTGTCGTTTTAAAAATTTCAGGCTGCTATCCATGTCCAGGGCCAAACATGAACCCTGTTGCTCTTGGGAGCCGCTGGCTGGCTTATGCAGAAAACAAGGTAAGGTCCAAGTTTGGCTTATATGTATCGGAGCACGTACTGAAGAATTTTCTCATAATCGATTCCTGTGCTTAATAGATGATTACTCACCAAAAATTAATGTTCAGCTCATTAGTGAATTTTTGAAATTGTTTAATTGTAATTGTTCGACCCATAATCTCCATTCCTACTTACTTGCTTTTGATCAATTCTGTTAAGAATTCCTAACATTTGAAATTTGTTTTTGAATCAAGATTCTTTAGAACTTTACTTCCTTAAGCTTTGTATAGAGAAGTTTACTATTAATCCCAAATGACAACGTTAAAGCTATGCTAGTATTGGTATTAAAATACTAGCAGTGTCTGTGAGGTAAAAATGACATGTCTTCATTGATTTATAGATTAAGGGCTGGAGGCACAAACTAGTTTAATTGATATAAGAGCTCAGCCTTTTATTTTAATAATGAAATAGCTAGTCTTATGTATCAAGGTCAGTGTAATAGTGTGATGATATTATCTTGATTTGAAGGCAAGTGAAAAAGTTTTATTCCTAGGTTATCAGTTCATACAAGCATGAGTTTATTCCAAACAAAACTTGTTTACATGTCTGTGTGATCAGTGGATGGCTGTAGAAAAAAAGTCTACATATATTTATCAGAGAAGTTCATTAGTATGTTTGTTTTGGTCTCATTAGGGTTCATTAAACAGAATAGAAAAAGTCCAATCAAAGCAGTGGCTTGTGGCGGGGATCTTCTGGGCCAGTTAAAATCCTTGCAGATCTGACTTGTATAACCATGACACTATAACCTCTCAGATGGTTATAGTGATTGATTGGGGATTCCAAAAGGGTAATCTTGATAGAGGTTCTTGATGGACGTGGGATCATAGGAGCTTGTTATGAAAACTGCACTGGGAGGAAAAAGTTCAGGCAGGTGGCATCCAGGAGTCTTGCCATCGGGACAGTGCACTGCTTATTCTGGAGGGTTGCACGGCTTTTCTATGCGGTTGTCTTTGGGAAATATTGCTCCATCCACTCTACCGCCCTCATCTTGCCCCTCTGACTTTTGTTTCCCAAACTCAAAGAACATTGAAAAAGTACTATGTAGCCACTTCAACTATGCCACAATCACCATTTTGTCTCGGGGTCAATCAGAGAGCACAGAACTCTTTGGGAAAGAGTTAGCAAGATGAAAATACCACCTTAGAAGTGTATAAGCATAGAGGATAGGTACAAAGACCAACAGCTTTCTATTTTGATGTTTTTGTTTAATAGGGGGTCCTGTTATTTTATAGCAGTACTTTTTGACTTACCTTTGTACAACGAGTTTCATTTATATATACTTAAAATAAATCTTGAAAGAGACGTGAATATTTTTCATGCCATTTTGCCATAGATGTGAATTGAGAATTAAAAAAAACCCCACAACCAGAGCCTTACAAGATGATTAGTACTTTGGGTTTCATTTTCACCTGATTGTTAATTATTTTTTTTGGAACTAATGCAAATATTGATTACTATAAAATTTCTTGATAAAAAATTGAGAAAAATTATTGGGGAGGGTCACAGAGCTTAGAGCCTCTGGAATATACAAAGCTGAGAAAGTATTGAAGAAAATTATTTTTCTGGGTAAATTCTTTGTTAATTTTTCTAGTATTCTTTATGTAACAGGTATTTTGCTTCTTAGCCAGTGCAGTACTATGCTCCAGCCTGTTTTTTTCTCTGGGTTTTCCAGTGTATCTCATCAAAATTAGTTCTTTTGAAATTACTCTTCACAAACTATGTTGACAAGTGGCATATAATTTAGTGTGATGATACAATGATTTCTTCTAATGTTCACATCTGTAATACATTTCTGATGAGTGCTGAGCACATCCTAGAAGATATATAAATGTCTCTTGGCTGTTGTAAATATATTCTCACACATGGGAAACGGTCCATTTACAATTTGTGATATTATGCAAATATGAGGGGGCTTCAAAGATTATGGACAAATGGAATTAAAGGATAATGGACCTTTTCCCAGAAGTTTGTGAATCCCACTTGAGTTATGCCTCATTCTAAAAGAGAATGAACACCCTTCAGAGATGCAAAACCTGGCTGTGTGCCAGTTGTTTTCTTCTCGCGGAGATGCCGAGAAGATTTGGTCTCAGATACAGGAGATGTGGTGAAGTTCACAAGGAATTTGCTGATCCAATCGTGTGTCATCTTAGGAAGAGGCATTTCCATCGTATTTCTATAAATAAATGAGAGCTGTTATTTATTACCAATCTTTTGGGCTGAGTGTGAATTTACAAAATAGAATTTAAGCGTTTCAGTGATACTTTCTATTAAATAAGATCTTAAGTCTTTTATCTTCATGAGGATTTTAGTTTTTGGTACTTCTTTTTTAAAAAATGTTCATTAAACTTCATACACTTAAAGTAAACTTGCAATAATGACAGTTCAAACAGCACAAACAACAAAAAGACTACCTCTATGGTTTCTTTGTTTCTCCCCATCACTCTGTCACCCCTATGCCTCTCTCTCTGTTTTCTCCTCTTCTCTTGTTTGCCTCTATCTCCCCTACTCACGTCTTCATGCAACAACCGCTTCTCTTCTTTTCATTGTACTCTTAGCATTTGTTTGTTGTATGATTGGACACATTTATTATTGATGTTATACTTACACACTTAGATTTCCCTTTTACTTTTTTTTAAGTAGCTTAATGTCTATGTTCTTTTGTACATTGCTTTATTTACTTAACCTATAGAAAATTCTGATTCACCTTTAAGTTAAATTAACCATGAGGCAGTGTAAATTTTTCTCTTTTTCTCCGGAAGTTCAATTTTTATTTGGTGGGCACAGGTGAGGCAGGGCACAGAGCTACCAAGGCCTTCATGAATGCAGGGCCCGCCATTGTCCAAGGGTCCATAGTTAGGGATGTACTTTATTCCACAGCCATCCAGGATGAGGCACTCCTCGGCCACCATGTCCTAAACTCATCTGGAGATGTGGATCTTCTGGCACCCAGGGAACTTGAACTTGGCCCAGTGTAAGGCCTTAATCACATGCTCCTTGTTTTGAATCTTGGTGCAGATAGATATGATGTGGACTCTAGCCACTGTGCCTCGGGGTTTGCCCAAAGCACTTTGCATTCCATTGAAAAGCAGCAAGAAGTTGTCTCCAAGGTCCATTTGGGCAGCCCATCCACACTAACAGACTGCGTATGCTACTGAGGCGGCTCCCTGTTCGCAGCCATTGCACAGTAGCCCCCACAAGGGGGAGGACAGTTGGCTTATTGGCTGCAGAACAAAGTAAATTTCTGATTCTTAGTTTTAGACCAAAGTTTCTGGGTTTATTTAATTTTACGTAAAAATGCCGCTTCATTATTTTGCAGCTAAGAAAATGTAAGAATGTTGCCTATTGTCACTTTTTTTTTTTTAAGTTAGCTGAAACGGTAGGATTTCTGAAATGATTGCCTTTCCATGCATATGCAGCAGGAGGCAGCAGAGGGATAGATTTAATAATTCTTTAAATGTGTATTTGTGAATGAATGAGTCAGTACGTGAGATAGAGCTGTCTTTTT